CTGAAAACTAGGTCAATAATGGTAAACAAACTAATAGTCACTGAAAACTAGGGCAGTAGTGGGAAACAAACTAATAGTCACTGAAACAAGGGTAGTAGTGGAAAACAAACTAATAGTCACTGAAACAAGGGTAGTAGTGGAAAACAAACTAATAGTCACTGAAACTAGGGCAGTAGTGGGAAACAAACTAATAGTCACTGAAACAAGGGTAGTAGTGGAAAACAAACTAATAGTCACTGAAAACTAGGGCAGTAGTGGGAAACAAACTAATAGTCACTGAAAACTAGGGCAGTAGTGGGAAACAAACTAATAGTCACTGAAAACTAGAGCAGTAGTGGGAACAAACTAATAGTCACTGAAAACTAGAGCAGTAGTGGGAAACAAACTAATAGTCACTGAAAACTAGGGCAGGAGTGGGAAACTAATAGTCACTGAAAACTAATGCAATAATGGAAAACTACTGTAAACTAGGGCAATAGTGGTAAACTAATAGTCACTGAAAACTAGGTCAATAATGGTAAACAAACTAATAGCTACTGACAGCTAGAGCATGGTTCATCACAGTTATAAAATTCTTCATCTCTAATACTTTAAAAGACTAGTAGTAAAGTTCTAAAAGTTTTCCAACATATTCAAAATGTTTACTGTGACTAGTTTGATATTAATTATTATTTCTCTACCTAAATTCTGAAACATTCTAGGACTGTTTTAAGGATTACTGTTTGTCACCTTTTTTCTTCCTTATCCATCCCAAGTTGGAATGCATTTTCATTGTTGTAATGTTGTATGCACTATTTATATGCCAGTTTTATTATATTTTTTTAAGGTTGTTTACACTGCACAGCTTATGAAAGATTCTGTCTAATGTCCACCTGTTGGTAAATGTTTGACCAACTATTGTAAAATTAAAGAAAAGGATTCCACCTACTTGGAAAATGCCCAATGCAGACGAGGCACCCGTGAAAGACATTGAGGTATTAGGAGCATCTACTAATGTGGGAAAGTCGTTAGAAGAAACAGACATCAGCAAAGAGCAAACAATGTCAGGAGCAGCTGCTACTGCGGAAAAATCGTTAGAAGAATTAAATGTTAGTGATGGGCAGACAAAAATCGAAACAACATCAGTATGTAGTTACACAGATGTTCATGGTAATGAAATCTCCAAAGTTAGTTGTTTGGCAACAGATAATGCCACTGAGGAACAAAGACAAGCTTTACAGGATGCACAAGAAAGTTCTACTTCTATAAGTGACTTGAGTGAAACAAAGAGAAATTTGGATCAGGATATGTCCAGTGATTCAGAAATTCAGAAAACTGAAGATGGGAATGATACAAGTCTCAATTTGACTGTCGACGCAAAGGCAGAAGAAACTGAGTACTTACCAGATGATTTTAATGGAACTGGTTTAGAATTTGAAGCATCTTCCTCCCAGAAAAGTAACTCGGCTACATCCAGCCCAACAAAGTCTCACCAGTCGGCTTACCATATAAAGTGGATTGACTGGAAAGACAAAAAAGTACCAGTCATTACACAGGTATTGTTTAACATTCTCAGTATTGTCACACAGGTATTGTTTAACATTCTCAATATTGTCATACAGGTATTTAACATTCTCAATATCATCACACAGGTATTGTTTAACATTCTCAATATCTTCACACGTGTATTGTTTAACATTTTCACACAGGTATTGTTTAACATTCTCAATATTGTCACACTGGTATTGTTTTAACATTCTCAATATTGTCACACTGGTATTGTTTTAACATTCTCAATATTATCACACTGGTATTGTTTAACATTTTCACACAGGTATTGTTTAACATTCTCAATATTGTCACACTGGTATTGTTTTAACATTCTCAATATTATCACACAGGTATTGTTTAACATTCTCAATATTGTCACACTGGTATTGTTTAACATTTTCACACAGGTATTGTTTAACATTCTCAGTATTGTCACAATTATTGTTTAACATTCTCAATATTATCACACAGGTATTGTTTAACATTCTCAATATTATCACATATGTATTGTTTAACATTATCACACTGGTATTGTTTAACATTTTTAATATTATCACACTGGTATTGTTTAACATTTTCAATATCATCACACAGGTATTGTTTAACATTCTCAATATCGTCACATATGTATTGTTTAACATTTTCACACAGGTATTGTTTTAACATTCTCAATATTATCACACTGGTATTGTTTAACATTTTCAATATCATCACACTGGTATTGTTTAACATTTTCAATATTATCACACTGGTATTGTTTAACATTCTCAATATTGTCACACGAGTATTGTTTAACATGCTCAATATTGTCACACAGGTATTATTTTAACATTTTCAATATCACACAGGTATTGTTTAACATTCTCAATGTCATCACACAGGTATTGTTTTACCATTCTCAATATCGTCACACAGGTATTGTTTAACATTCTCAATATCGTCACACAGGTATTGTTTAACATTCTCAATATTGTCACACAGGTATTGTTTAACATTTTCAATATCATCACACAGGTATTGTTTAACATTCTCAATATTGTCACACAGGTATTATTTTAACATTTTCAATATTATCACACAGGTATTGTTTAACATTTTCAATATTATCACACAGATAATGTTTTAACATTCTCAATATCATCACACAGTTATTGTTTAACATTCTCAATATTGTCACACAGGTATTATTTTAACATTTTCAATATTATCACACAGGTATTATTTTAACATTTTCAATATTATCACACAGATAATGTTTTACCATTCTCAATATCATCACACAGGTATTATTTTAACATTTTTAATATCACACAGATAATGTTTTACCATTCTCAATATCGTCACACAGGTATTGTTTAACATTCTCAATATTATCACACAGGTATTGTTTAACATTCTCAATATTGTCACACAGCGATTGTTTAACATTCTCAATATTGTCACACAGATAATGTTTTAACATTCTCAATATCATCACACAGTTATTGTTTAACATTTTCACACAGGTATTGTTTTAACATTCTCAATATTATCACACTCGATATTGAAAATGTTAAAATAATACCTGTGTGATGATATTGAGAATGTTAAAACATTATCTGTGTGATAATATTGAGAATTTTAAACAATACCTGTGTGGTAATATTGAGAATGTTAAAACAATACCAGTGTGATGATATTGAAAATGTTAAACAATACCCACAGATAATGTTTTACCATTCTCAATATCGTCACACAGGTATTGTTTAACATTTTCAATATCATCACACAGGTATTGTTTATCATTTTCAATATCATCACACAGGTATTGTTTAACATTCTCAATATTACCACACAGGTATTGTTTAACATTCTCAATATTACCACACAGGTATTGTTTAACATTCTCAATATTGTCACACAGGTATTGTTTAAAATTCTCAATATTATCACACAGGTATTGTTTAACATTCTCAATATTACCACACAGGTATTGTTTAACATTCTCAATATTACCACACAGGTATTGTTTAACATTCTCAATATTATCACACAGGTATTGTTTAACATTCTCAATATTACCACACAGGTATTGTTTAACATTCTCAGTATTGTCACAATTATTGTTTAACATTCTCAATATCATCACACAGGTATTGTTTAACATTCTCAATATTGTCACACAGGTATTATTTTAACATTTTCAATATTATCACACAGATAATGTTTTAACATTCTCAATATCATCACACTGGTATTGTTTAACATTTTCAATATCATCACACAGGTATTGTTTAACATTCTCAATATTACCACACAGGTATTGTTTAACATTCTCAATATCATCACACAGTTATTGTTTAACATTCTCAATATTGTCACACAGGTATTATTTTAACATTTTCAATATTATCACACAGATAATGTTTTAACATTCTCAATATCATCACACAGGTATTGTTTAACATTTTCAATATTATCACACAGATAATGTTTAACATTCTCAATATCGTCACACAGGTATTGTTTAACATTCTCAATATTATCACACTGGTATTGTTTAACATTTTCAATATCATCACACGGGTATTGTTTGATGTTCTCAATATCATCACACAGGTATTGTTTGATGTTCTCAATATCACCACACGGGTATTGTTTGATGTTCTCCATATCATCACACGAGTATTGTTTGATGTTCTCCATATCATCACACGAGTATTGTTTGATGTTCTCAATATCAACACACGGATATTGTTTGATGTTCTTAATATCACCACACAGGTATTGTTTAACATTCTTAATATTACCACACAGGTTTTGTTTAACATTCTTTATATCACCACACAGGTATTGTTTAACATTCTCAATATCACCACACAGGTATTGTTTAACATTCTTAATATCATCACACTGGTATTGTTTAACATTCTCAATATCATCACACATGTATTGTTTAACATTCTCAATATCAACACACAGGTATTGTTTGATGTTCTTAATATTACCACACAGGTATTGTTTAACATTCTCAATATCATCACACGGGTATTGTTTAACATTCTCAATATCATCACACAGGTATTGTTTAACATTCTCAATATCATCACACGGGTATTGTTTAACATTCTCAATATCATCACACAGGTATTGTTTAACATTCTCAATATCACCACACAGGTATTGTTTGATGTTCTCAATATCACCACATGGGTATTGTTTGATGTTCTCAATATCATCACATAGGTATTGTTTGATGTTCTCAATATCATCACATAGGTATTGTTTAACATTCTCAATATCACCACACAGGTATTGTTTGATGTTCTCAATATCACCACATGGGTATTGTTTGATGTTCTCAATATCATCACACAGGTATTGTTTGATGTTCTGAATATCATCACACGGATATTGTTTGATGTTCTGAATATCACCACACAGGTATTGTTTGATGTTCTGAATATCACCACACAGGTATTGTTTGATGTTCTGAATATCACCACACAGGTATTGTTTGATGTTCTGAATATCACCACACGAGTATTGTTTGATGTTCTGAATATCACCACACAGGTATTGTTTGATGTTCTGAATATCACCACATGGGTATTGTTTGATATTCTGAGTATCATTTCCATTTTCAGTAGTTAAAGTTTTGGAAAGGTTTAGTTTCTAAGAATACTCTGTGAAGTTGATGATTTAATTGTTTTTAAATTTTGCTGTTCTACTGTAAATAAAATGTAATATCTAAAACAGATAAAAAAAGGTTAAAATTGAGAGTACATTTATAATGAATTTCTAGTATTATACATTTGAAATCTTAATTGTAGACAATTTTTAGGTTTAAATGTTTTCAACAGTATCATTACAAGTGTTTTTCTTTTTAGGCTGTATGTCAATTGAAGAGTTTTGTGTTTTCTACAGAATGAAAATGGTCCTTGTCCATTGATAGCCATAATGAATGTGTTGATCCTAAAAGGAAAGATAACACTACCATCAATGGTTGAGATCATTACTGCAGGTCAGTTGATGGAGTACTTAGGAGACTGTATCTTGGAGAATATGCCAAAGGTATGATTAATGTTGTGAATTTAATGCCGAGTTTTTTCACAGACAAATGTTTCTTTCTTTCCTAAAAGCACCTTCAATTCACCTTTCATAATTTTTAAAACCCTTTTCCAACTGGGTATTTTATATTTTAAAACCCATTTTCCAACTAGGTATTTTATATTTTAAAACCCCTTTTCCAACTGGGTAATTTATATTTTTTAAACCCTTTTCCAACTGGGTATTTTATATTTTAAAACCACTTTTCCAACTGGGTATTTTATATTTTAAAACCCATTTTCCAACTGGGTATTTTATATTTTTTAAACCCTTTTCCAACTGGGTATTTTATATTTTTTAAACCCTTTTCAAGCTGGGTATTTTATATTTTTTAAACCCTTTTCCAACTGGGTATTTTATATTTTAAAACCACTTTTCCAACTGGGTATTTTATATTTTAAAACCCATTTTCCAACTGGGTATCTTATATTTTTTAAACCTTTTTTCAACTGGGTATTTTATGTCTTTTAAACCTTTTTTTTCCAACTGGGTATTTTATATTTTTTAAACCTTTTTTCCAACTGGGTATTTTATATTTTTTAAAACCCTTTTCCAACTGGGTATTTTATATTTTTTAAACCTTTTTCCAACTGGGTATTTTATATTTTTAAACCTTTTTCCAACTGGGTATTTTATATTTTTAAAACCCTTTTCCAACTGGGTATTTTATATGAAGACCACAAAAACCTTATATCATTGGATTTGGTATGAAAAATTTTATCAGATTACTCCTATATGAGACCCTGGGAATAAAGATAGCAGGTGTACCAAATATGCTTGTATGGTAAGTAAAGATAGCAGGTGTACCAAATATGCTTGTATGGTAAGTAAAGATAGCAGGTGTACCAAATATGCTTGTATGGTAAGTAAAGATAGCAGGTGTACCAAATATGCTTGTATGGTAAGTAAAGATAGCAGGTGTACCAAATATGCTTTATGGTAAGTAAAGATAGCAGGTGTACCAAATATGCTTGTATGGTAAGTAAAGATAGCAGGTGTACCAAATATGCTTCTATGGTAAGTAAAGATGGCAGGTGTACCAAATATGCTTGTATGGTAAGTAAAGATAGCAGGTGTACCAAATATGCTTCTATGGTAAGTAAAGATAGCAGGTGTACCAAATATGCTTCTATGGTAAGTAAAGATAGCAGGTGTACCGGATATTCTTCTATGGTAAGTAAGGGGTTAATATATATTTTGGAACACTAAACCTCTCGTTCAGTCTTGTTTGTTTAAGCATTTTCAGAGCTTTTCATTCAGTGTCAGTTAACTTATATCTGTAACTTAAGGAGTTTTAGGGACTCGTATTAAAGTTCCAAATGAATATCAAGTGATGTATTTTTAGTAATACTAAAATGTCGTTAATAACTCCTTTCTGTTTTACTTGTCCTCTGGTGGAACAGCAGTATGTCTACGCACTTACATTGCTAAAATGAGGGGTTCTATTCTCGCCTGTGGACTCAGCAGAGAGCTGAATGTGGCTTTGCTCTAAAATAAACACACAATTCTGTTTTACTTGTATAAAAAGAAATGCTCTTTACTTTAGGTTTCCTTCTATAAAGATCTCTAGTTTTAAGTCTGCAAGATGATTTTTTTTGAAAGAATTACTATGGGAATAGTTGTAATTTTCTAATGAGAAACATATTTGATCGTTTCAGTTTGAATGAAATGCATATACAAATATCTTTATAATTTTTCTGAGAATCTCAAGTTATATGCTATGTTACGTAGTTTTCCTTGTAAAGTCATAACTTCTGATGAAAATCTTTCAGCTGGAAGTTTGAGTAAACATGAAATTGCTATTTCTATATCTGGAAGTAAATAATTAAAAGGTGTAATTTTCTTACTTTATATGCTATGGATGTGTTGACAACCAAAAGTTGAAATCTCTGAAGTTTGGCTTAACATGGTTACAACAATCAAAGCTATAACTAGTGTCTGTAAAAGTGACCATGGTCTGGTACATTAAAACACCATCAAGATATGAAATGTTAAGGTATTAGCTGTACTTTAAGATAAATAAAATAGCTCACAAACTATTGATTACATTAATTGTTAATAGATGATTAAGTCAGCTCTATAAAAAAAATAATGATTTAAATATTGCAATACCGTTATCTGTCCTGGTTGTCAACTTATTGTCATAACGGATAATGTTTGTGGTAATAGCACCCAAATGTGTTGGGAATATACCATCTATCACACAACATCCAAATGCTGATGTCAATCTAGTCAGCCATCATGGAAAATCATAAAAAAACAAATAAGGATATGAAGCTGAGTGCTTACACACACAATGTCTCAGCTTCTACTGCCTATCATTATCTGTAGCAAGTTTTGAGAAGGCAGTTACCCTTAAGTTTCTTAAAGTAGAAATGAATTGAAATAAAGCCACTAATATTTGTACTAATTAAACTCTCAACCTCCACCCTTACAAAAAGATATTAAATATAACTATAAAATATTGAATAGAACTAAATAAACTATAAGATATTAAATAGAATTATAAGATATTGAATAGAACTAAATAAACTATAAGATATTAAATAG